GACTGTTGCTGTGCAGGTTGTGGTGAGTTTGAGTGTACAGGGGAGCTGGCAAAGGAGAAGGTGCAATGCAGCCTTTCCTTCTGTGCCTTCTCTCTTTGTGTTCGTAAGAGCTTCTTTCTTCTTTCAGCTGAAGAAGCAGCTTTGGTTCATCACCTGCTTTTAGTGCCATGGAGACTTCACAGTATAGGGTCTGGGAAGGTGTTTTTCCCCTGGCTGGGACATTTCTCATCACTTTCTGTGAGCCTCAGCCTTTACCACACAAGGTGCATGATTCATATGTTTGGCATGGGATCCTGGGATCCAGGGAGCCCTTCCAGGCCGGCTGCTCAGGGGAGCCCACTTGCCAAAGCTTTTCTTTCTGCAGGCTGCCTCCTGAATCAGCCCCCTAAAGAGGGGCTCAGCTGCACTGGCATTTACACATGTAGCCTTAACTGCCTTATCCTGAAATGGAAACTTGAAGCCACCCATGTATATATTCCTTTCTCTATAGTTTTTTTGGTTTTTTTTTTAAAAATAATAATATCTGAAGCCATGAAATACTAGCTTATGAGCTATGCTGGGACAAGGATAGTCTGTCCTTTGAGTTCCTTGGTCTGATGGCAGTTGGAGCAAGGCAGGGGGAGTGGATGTACAGCACTCCTGTCAAGTGACCAAAAGCAGCAGCTCAGTTTTAATCATACTTTAAATACAGATATCAAATCTTTGATGGGGAAGAGCCCGGTTATTTTAAATGCAAGTCACAAATTAACTAATGACTTAGAGCAATATCAGTGATTTTTGTACCAAAGTAATGAAACTGTAGCAATAGAAAAGCTTGCTACGTTGGGTGTGTCTTCAGGCCCACAATGTATGGAAGCCACACCTGGATGTTGTTCAGGTTCTGAGCTGTGCTGTTGCTGTGCTGATGTGGTGACTATAGAGCCTGATTGGAGCTGTATGCAGAGTAAACAATGATTCTTATGAAAATCTGTAACCATGTGGACATTGTTGGTTTCTAATTAAACAGCTATTTTTGTTAAATAAAAATACTCTGAGATATCCTGTGTGGTCAGTGCTTTTTTTTCTGTTTTGATATCCTGCTAATCCACAGCATTGCTGCTGTAGGTTGTTCTGAGCATCTTTGTAACAAAGAGAAAAACAATTTAGAACAAAACATACAAAAAGAAGCAAGACTTTAAGAAGCTGATAGTTGCTGGCTGGCTTTTGTGAGTTTGCATAACTGTGCAAGTGTCTTGTATTGGGGATTCTTAAGTGCTGAGCAGTCCAGAAGCACCATTCTAATTGCAGTGCAGACTGGTCTGGTGAGGGAGATCATCACTCACCAGTGCAGGGTAGCCCTGGATGCTCTGGTCTAGCTGGGGGTTACAGTGAGGGAAAGCAGGTGTAGGTTTGCCATGCAGGACCTTTCTACTTACATTGACCTAATCACAAAATTGAGGCCTTAAAGGAAAAATGTTGTAAGCTCCCCATCCTGGCACTTCCTGCCTTATAAGGCTCTCCTGTGCTGTGTTTCTAGAAGACATGGCTTGTACCTCATAATACAGGCTAGGCTGGAGGGTACAGTGGTTTGTGTTGGGTAGTTAGCCCAACAAGCCCTCTGCCCAGCACCAAAAACAAGAGAAAAGGAGTGTTCTGGGGAGGAAAGGAGGAAGGGAGGTTTTCTTACACATGCTTCCTTCAGAGCTTTTTTGCTGAGTGTTATTGCTGAAGGACAGGACTGTTGGCAGGTTCTGAATTTCATTCATCTGCCTTCCCTGGGTGAATACAGGGTCAGCTGTGGAGGGATGAGTTTCTTGACAGTGTGTGGGATTAAAATCTCTGCTTGTGTATGTCAGGAATATTAGTAGGTCATACAGTTATAGCATTTCCCTTAGGTGGGTTCAAGTGATTCTCCTCTGGTTCTGGTGAAAGGCTGCTCTCTCCTGCAAGCGAAGCGAGTCCACGTGAACTGTGGCAATCCTTGCTCCTCCCATCGCATCCTGCCACATCTTGTACAGCTGAGAGAGCTGAAAGGGGCTGTGCAGGAGCGGAATTTCTGCGCTGGAGATCGAGCAGGCAGTGTGGTTTGGCGGAGATGAGATAAACGCTACACACGCCTGTCTGCCTGGGGTGCTGTGACTGTTTCTTTGTTCCAGTTGATGCTGGGGGCTGCTGCAGGTGAGTGTTACAGATGAATCTCTGTCCTGCGCTGGGCTTGCTGTGATGCTGGGAGGATGAGGTGTAGTTCCTGGGATCACTGCTACAGTGAGAGACAGGGTGCTGGGCTTGTTCTGTCCAAAAAGCAAGAGATAGGCAGAGCTGCCAGAGGCTGCTGTTTCAGGAGCAGCACCCACCTGCAGTCCCCCTGGGCTAGCAGGGGCTGTGAGAGGCTGCCAGGGCAAGGCAGGATTCCAGGGCTACACTCAACCCCTGCTGAGGCTAGTGTGCGTGTGTGACAGAGCCGGCTGCTCTGGCAGCGCTCTCAGGGAAAGGGAAGGGCTCTGTGTGGAAGCGGTTGTGTTTTCTTCTCTGTCAGTGTGATCATAGCCAAGTACTGGGAAGAAAAGAGGGACTTTGGCTATGGAGGGGCAGGAGACTGGATGCTCTGAACCCTGTTCCCAGTGGCTTTTGACAGTGTAAACTGTTTCCTACACTACATAAAAAAGGTGTTAAGGTGCTTGTTTAATATTGCACTGGAGGTGTCATGCAGCCTTTGTCTGTGAAACATACTGTACGTGAATCTGTTCCCTGAACACAGTGTCTGATGCATTAGTGACATGGAAAACAGCAGCCAACATGTCGGGGTCTGTCCTTGGAGATCTGCACTGCTTTACTGTTGGTTTCATTGCATTTTTCATTACCATGCTCTGCAGCTTCCTCACATATGGGAACATCTGAAAACCTACATTTGATGACATGTGGGTTAATGGATGCGTAGATGAATTTTGATTGACCTTAAATCATTAAGTTATCATTAAGTTCTTATTACCAAACATTACAGCTTGACATTCCAACAATGGGGTCTAACCCTTGTCTTAATCACCCTGATTTGTGATTAGTCACATAAAGTATCTCTTGCTAATGAAAAGGACAGTGCTGGCTTTTAAGATGAAGGATAGTCTTACAATAAAAGCAGAGAAGAAAGCCTTGGTATTGTATCCAGTTCCCTGTATTTTAGTCTGCTATGAATTTGTCGAAATGCGGAAAATCAGAAATTCAGCATATCGCCCAGAAGGGTGGGATAACTGCATGCCCTGGGCGAGGTCACTGGTGGAATTTTCACCAGGTACAGCAGGAACCATTGCCAAACAGGTAACTGAGCATTATCTCTGCGAAGTGTAAGGAAGCCCTTACAGCCCACTAGAGCCAATGTCAAAACCTGGTTTTCTTTTTCACTGTATGGTGTAGGATGAGCAGAAACCCTGAGGTCATGGAGTCCATTCTCCTCCTATAGCATGTGGCCTATGATGACTGACGTCTTTAGAGAGCTCATGAGCCCCACCTTGAAGGGGTTCAGCTTTTCTGTCCCATGTGACTTTGAGTGAAAGGCTGACCCTACTTGAGTTACTCTGAGAGTTATCAAAGCTCTGGCTTTGTGGCTATCTTCTGCCTGTATTTTCTTTCATTAGCATTAACCCTTTAGTACAGGGGGAGTGCTTCCCTCTGAGGTGTGTGGCCTTGTAGACGTCATCTTTCACTTTGCCAGGCCAGTGTATTCAAAACGTGGGGCCATGGCCGTGTGAGGGACAGTGTGATGGGCACCATGTCAGTGCTGCCACTGAGGAGAACTCCCTCCCTTGCTCTCTCCCTCTTTTCCCCCAGAGGGGTCCCTGCTACTGCAGCCCAAGCTGGTAGAAGGGCTGAGGAGGGTCATCCCCCAAAATGCCGTGCTGAGAAGTGTCTTGTGATGCTGAGTGAACTTTATCACTCTGAATGGCTGCTGGCAGCTGCTCGCCCTTGCAGTGAGCTCTGTGTGTGCTCAGTGGGGAGTCTGGTGGTCACACAGCTCTTGGGGGACCTGCTGGCCTCAGGGGCACAGCATCCACTACCTGTGGGGGGTTTGGTTGTCCCTAGAGGACACTGCAATCTGCCACCTCCCTCCAGTTCCACTGAGGAGTCTGATCCTTCTCTTTCTGCCAGCCGCCCTGGCCCCATAGGTAAATCAGGGTGGGGTTTTTTGGCCTGTTTTTTTGTTTTTGTCTGTTGGGTTTTTTTTCCAGATGGGAATTAATTCAGGGCATTTTCCTGGTTTGTTTGTTTGTTTGTTTTTCTCATTTCCATGTTCAAGGAGCAGTGTGTGGTTAACACAGAGAGGTGTGTCTCTGGAGATTCAGTGCTGTCTTCTTTAGTGGTGAGACACTGGAACAGGCTGTCCAGAGAAGCTGTGGATGCCCCATCCCTGGAGGTGTTCAAGGCCAGGCTGGATGGGGCTCTGAGCAGCCTGGTCTACTGGAAGGTGTCCTTGCCCATGGCAAGGGGGTTAAGAGTTTCAAAATCCTGTTCCAGCCCAAACAATTCTATGATTTTGTGATTAACAAAAGCCCAAATCCTGACACTGCTGGCTCTTGGGCTGATCCGATCGCTCATTACCAGCCGGATCATGATGAATAATACAACACGCGAAGCGAGGCTGCCCGCTGAGGATTGAGTACATAATTTAAGAGCATCTAAGAAGGGCTTTCGGCTGGACAGGGAGAGCTGGTTGTCGCTCTCCTGGTGGGGTGTGTGTGTCCCCGCTGCCCCCAGCGCTCTGCTTCCCGACAGTTTCCAGGCGTTAGATGGAATTGTGCCACACGGAAAAGGGGCAGGGAGGGGGCCCTGGCGCGGAGGCCCGTCTCCATGGCAACGGGGCGGTGCGGCCCACGGGAGCCAGGGCCCTGCGAGGGGCGGCGTTTGTCCCTGGGGAAGCGGTGTTTGTCCCTGGGGAAGCGGTGTTTGTCCCTCGGGAGGCGGAGTTTGTCCCTCGGGAGCCACCGTGTCACTGACCGGCGCGGGCGGACGGGGCGGCTCCACAGCTGTCACGGCAACCGCGACGCCCGGCGGCGGCACCTCCTCGTCCCCGGCAGGGAGCGGCGGGGCCCGGCGTGTCCCAGGGGAGCAGGGAATTCTGGTGAGGATGTTCCCCGGTGGGGTTCGGGTTCGTGGGTCTGTGTATGTGTGCGTTTTAGTGCAGAAGGACAAAGCGACAGAAAGCCGCCTTTTGTTGTCACTGTGCCCGGGTGTAACCGCGTTACTAATCCGTGCAGAACAAATGGTGACAGCGCGCACCCCCCACAGACACACCCTAAGTAGAACAGGAGCAGCTGAAAATGAAGATGTGAGATTTTCTGAATACTTTCTGTCCCTCTTAATGCCTAATCACTTTACTTCATAATATCCAAAATAGAATAAGAGCTGATTCAGGAATTTCTGGTGCCCCCGGTATAAGAAGGGCATGGAACTGTTGGAGCAAGTGCAGAGGGGACCACGAGGTTGGTAAAGCACCTCCCCTATGGAGACAGGCTCAGAAGGTTGGGGCTGTTCAGCCTGGAGAAGAGGAGGGTGTGTGGAAACCTCATTACAACCTTCCAGGATCTGAAGGGGCCCATAGGGAAGCTGGAGAGGGATTCCCTGTCAGGAACTGCAGTGACAGGACAAGGGGAAATGCGTACACACTGGAAGAGGGGGAGCTTAGGTTAGATATAAGGAAGAAATTCTTTACTGGAACAGAGTGCCCAGGGAGATGATGGATGCCCCAATCTTTGAAAGTGTTCAAGGTCAGGCCAGATGGGGCTTTGAGCTACCTGGGCTAGCAGGAGGTGTTCCTGCCCATGGCAGGGGGAGTTGGGGCTAGATGATGTTAAGGTCCTTTCCAACCCCTTAACATTCTATGATTCTATGAAACAAGTCGTTGAATTGTAAATTCTCTCTTTAGCCTTGGCTACTTTATCTTACAACAGAAGAAGTTGATTTTTATGCTGATCCCCATTATTACACTTAACCTAAATGAATTAAAGAGCATGTTAGATGTGTTTGTATTGGGTGCCACTGATGTGAACATGTTTTTTCTAAGGGCACAATTCCTCTGTGCAGCTTCTGTATCTCCTTACCATAATAATGAAATCACATAAAGAAATGTTTCTTTTGTGCTGAATATGCACTAGAGAAAAGTAATCTCCATTAAGATGCCAGGTACATCATCACCCAAACCAAGGATATTTGTGAAGGAAGGGGCATTTCCCAGCAAAAATCATTACATGTCATATGAGGTGGTGCAGGAAAAACACGAGGGAAATAGATATGGTGTGGAAAGCCAAGGCAATAGTCTAAACAAGCTCTAAAAATTCAAATTCTGAGAAATCTAGTGTGAGAATGATTCTGGTGGCAAGTGGTAGCTAAGAATAAGTGAAAAAATTGCCAGACTTCCTTGAAAATGAAAATTTTCTTTTCAAAGAAAATGAAGAGCTTTTAAAAGTTTCCGTACAAACAATATTGCAGCAAAAAATGCCCAGCTTTATTAGCACTCTAAGACAAATCTTGCCTAAGTTTTGAGGCTTAAAAAATATCACTCTTTTCCAGCATGAAATACTGAGTTCTAAGAAGCAGAGCTGGTGTTCCTGAGAACAAATAACTGAGAACTCAGAGGTGTTCATCAGAACTCAAAACAAATGCTTGGGAGAATTTAAGCAACATCTCCTGCATGAAAGGATTTTTACAAAATGTGTAGACGGATTTGAAAGACAACCCTTCTTGATGCTGTGATTCTTGTCTGGAAGGGCAGGATGGTCACACAGCAAGAGCTGTCTTGCTGTTCTAGGGCAATCCAGAGTCAGAGCTCTCTCTTACATCCCATATTGTCTTGCCGAATCATAAAATGCTAAGGGGTTGGAATGGACCTTAAAGAGCATCAAATTGTGACCTCCCTGCCATGGGCAGAGACACCTTCCACTAGAACAGGTTGCTCAAAGCATCATCCAACCTGGTCTTGAAGACTTTCAGAAATGGGGCATCTGCAATCTCCCTGGGAAACCTGTTCCAGTGCCTTACCACCAAAATAGCAAAGAATTTCATCCTAATATACCTAAATTTCCCCTCTTTCAATTTGTACTCATTACTCCTTGTCCTGCAACAATCATGATCTTTAGTCTATTGAAAATGACACAGATTAACCCTCCAACAGACACATGGAAGTGGCACCTTCCAGCCTACAGCAGGTGGTACAAAAAGAACAAGAACTTTTGAATACTTGATGTTTTCTTCTTCTGTGCTGCTTTTGTAAAAAGAAATAAATTACTGAAGAACTGAAGAGGGGTTAAAGCTATAAACAGCAGAATCAGCTCTCTAGGCTCGTGAGTGTGTCCACATCTTTAAACTTTTGTGTCTTTGATGCCTTAGGTTAATGAGCGTTTAAAGTTACAGTGCATTTAAACAAGGTAAGATAAAAGCAAGAAGTTTGTCGCACTTCAGGCTAACATAAAATAATGGTCTCTTTGTCCAAGCACAAGGCTAACTGTTAAAAGATTATGAGTTCTAGTTTAAGCTCTGTCAGAGACATTAAATCACCTTGATTTGCTTTAACTCAAACCTTCTCCCAGTAGCCAGGGCTGGAAAGGCCAAAACCATTCATGTTTATGAGCCATTGGTGATCCTTAGTCCTGAGGTGCTGTGGCACTGTCTAACATGCTTGTATTAGTACTGCTCACAAGTTTGATGTGAGTGTCATGAGAGATATCAGTATTTGTGTGTCACTAGAGTTTGAAAACATTTTATTTCCTCTCCTTTTTGTAGTATTGTTCTAACACATCACCAAAATAACTGAAAAGGAAGATCAAGCAGATATGGGTGATGTAACAGAAAATGCAGAATATGAGGATGATTTTGAAAAAGACCTGGAATGCCTAACTGACAAAGAAGAAAAAAAGGTATTTGTTACATTAAATGCTAGTTGTGTTATTTAGAAGACAAAATTGAGTAATTTGGAATCTTAGGCACAAATTCAGTATTGCTTGAAATGTGCAGGTGCATTCACTGAATTTTGACAAGGAAGATCATTTGGAATTACAGTGAAAAACATTTCAGCAAACTGGTTAGTTTGGTTATAATATCTGTAAAACAGAAAATTCAGTGTTCATTAAAAATGATATATTTTCTTCAAAAGTACTTCTGAGTTCCTTTAAGTGTTTGTGCAACACTCATTGTGGTTTTGTGCTGTCATTAATCATTTCACTGGTTAGTTAAACTGTGTGTGAATGTGAACATGAAGAAAATGAAGAGACTTGTTAGTGCCAAAAAAGCAGTTAGTTATGACATGCACTAATTGACAGCCTGGTTTAGAGTGCAAGTAGTTTACTGCTCTTCTCTCTCACTGTTTTTTTCTCTTTCTTTGATAAGTGTTCTTTTGTTGAAAGAAGAGACTAGTTTATTTTAACTTTTTTAGAATCCTGGAAAAAAGGAAGAGGATGTTGAAGCACAAATTCATAAAGCTGCATACAGCTCTCAGGAAGACAATGAGGAAGTGGAAGAAAGTCTAGATCAGCTTTCAGAGGCAGATGTAAATGTGAAAATGATATATGCTAATGAAAAATACTTTCCTGAGGCAAGTACTGAACAAAAGGACTATGAATATGATGAGACAGAAAGCTTTATCCAGGAATATAAGCTGGAAAATGAGCAGGAACTGGAAGAGGATGAAGATATGAAGCGTTATGTCTTGGAAAAGATTGAAGAAGCCAACAAAAACCTGGAAAATCAGACTCCTGTGGATCAAAACAGAGAAAGGAAATTAAAATTTAAGGATGAGATGGATATTAAAGCTCCTCCTCCAAAAGATGCTGACCTTGCAAGAGGAGATGATGTTTCAATTGGGCTGTCTCAGCTGCATATTTCTGATGATACAGGACAGAAACACACACTTTCAGAAGGTACTGGCTCAGATGAGGAAATGACACGTGGTAAAGTCCTAGTGGAAAAAGATGGAAAGTTTGAACTCTTAAGTTTATGTGATATTGAAAGCCAGGGCATTTTGCCCCCAATAAGTGTTTCTTTTTCAGATATTGAAACTCAACGTACAGCTCCAAAATCTTCGCTCCCCACTGACCCTTCACCTCCATCTGACTCTAAGCAACCTCCAGATCCTGCTTCGAATGGTGCAAAAGACCTGGGAAAACAGAAGACTGAGACTGCAAACACAGCCACGAAAACCTCCACTTACACTCTTACTCCCAGACAAAAAGAATTAAGGAAGCAGATAGAAATAAGGAATGAAATACTGAGGAGAGAGGTAAATGTATAGAGAAAAGTAAATCGCAGTGACCATCCGATTCCTCTGCTTCACAAAGACCATGTGCTCAGAGTATTTACTCCATTCTTCCTTGATAAAAGAGGCAGCAATAATAGTTGTAGTAGTAATAATAACATCAACAACAATAATAACAATCATTCTCTGGGGTTTGTATAGAATTTCTCAAAGTTCCTTTCCCAGAGTGGTATAGGATCATGCCTTGCTCAGAGGAGAAATTGAGTATTTATTTAATATATCCTTCATAAATAGGCCTTCTTCTGTTATACTTTTCTTGCTGCTTTTGCTTTTTGACTCTCTCTCTACCTAGGTTCTGTTACAGTCCCATAGTTTATGGAATGTAGCATGTGGCGTCACGTCTGCACATATTATATTGCAGTGCACTTAGTTTATGTTAACCATAGTAAGGCTGGGGCACATTTGGGTACTTAAGAAGTATGGATTTGGCAATTACATAGGAGAGTGTTCAGTCATAATATAATGTTTACACAGCAGAGTGACTGTAGGAACCCTTTTAATTCTTTCTCAGCTCCTCACACAGCAAAAAAACCCCTTACATTTAATAGACAGCCTCCAACAGCTGTAATGGGGACTTCAGAAATCTTTACCAGAGAGTTAAAAAATGTTGATATTTTTCTTCCTTTTGCATTATGATGATACAGTTACAAAAAGGTAGCTTGCTATGTGTGTTGCTGTATAAAAGGAGCATGAAGCATCTGCCATTTTTCAGTGCCATGATGTACTAATTAAGCTGGCTAAGTAGCTCCCAAGGTTACTTTCTATTTGTGGAAAGAGCTCTAGCCTGCTTTATTTGAAAAGGTTGCTGAGGCTCAGCTTAGTAATGAGGGGAATGAAATCTGATGAGCAATTGAAGTATTTTCTTTTTGCACACAAGACTACATCTCTTGAAACCATGATATATGTATTTAAAGTGAAGGGTAGGGTAGTGAGGGGAAAGAAGGTTATTTTCCTAACAGTGTGTGCTAAATTTCTTCCTTTGTTGGCTTAGTTATAGAAAGGTAAGGATGTGTTACCTTATTTCTTCATTCTGGAATGGAATTCTTCCATTCTGTGATGGATTTCACAGGCATGAAACATTTCTTGACATTACTAGAATCCATCTGCTTCATTTTGGTGGAGTTTCTTTCATTCCAGTAAATTAGAAATGGTAAGTTTGGAGGATATCTGAAAGTTGTGTGTAGGTGGGAGGAACATCACCTATTTGCAAGCAGATTAGATTTCTATAAGTATTGAAATAAGTAGGCATTGTAGTTTTTGTAAAAGAGAGAGAAAATCCAGGTAAAATATATCAGCTTTCTTAAGCATTAATTGAAACTTATACTACTCTTTGTAAATACTTCTAATTAGCTAAAATGTAATTAATAAATAAGAGATACCTTTCTCATTTTTGTAAATTTCAGTTCATTTCGTACACTTGAAAAAAACCTGAAGCTATTAATACTCCTTAAGTAAATACATTGTAACTTCAAGTCAAAAGAAAGGTCCTTAATTATGAGGTAGTGCCCGCAATCCATATTGTTAAATGTTGCTAAAGATGTTGTTAAATATCCTTTAGGGTTTAGGGGTCCATCAAGCCTGAGAGCTGCATTTATTTTTAAAATGTATCCATATAAAGTGATTCTAAGCTAACCAGGGATACTGGGCAAACTTAAATTTAAGAATTTTCACCTGATTCTATTTAAATGTCTGTGAGTCAAGAGGTGTCATGGAAATGGAGGTAATCACAAGAAGGATTAGACTGAAAGTGTCTGAATATATCACAAATCACAGAAGTGCTCCAAGCAATTTCTTCCTAAATGCAGTGTCAGCTGTGATGCAGTCTTTGAGTATTCCTGTTTCATCTGTATTTCAGTGTGTCTCTCATGAAATTCAAATGGCTTATTTCTTGCCTGCAACAGTCTTTGCAAATTAAGATAATTCTCTTAAAAACTAAGTTTATTTGGTTTTCCTTCCACTTAAGGAAGAAGACAGGAAAAGGGAACTAGAAGAAATGAGGAGAAGAGAGAATGAAATAGTTTATAAAGCTTGGTTACAGAAGAAGAAAGTACAGCTAAAAGAAGAAAAGCGAGTTCGTCGTGCAAAGCAGCTGGAAGAGCTGAGGATGAAAGTAAGGTCACCCTACTGTGGAACTGGGATCTATAGTGCTCTTGTTAAATAGGAAAACCAAATTCTAAACCTGGCTTCATAGCTAAGTGTATGAAAATTTACATCAATGGGGAATGTTCTTGTTACATTGTTTTCAGTGAAGAGCTAGACTTGCAGGTTTAGGATTGATCTCCTTGGCAGAGTGGCTTGCAATTTAGAAGCAGCGTACATGAACTTAACTATAAAATCACAGGGGATACAGTGATGCTCCCATATACCAGAAGAAGGACTTGATTGAGCCCTGCAGTGAACAAGCAGGCAGAAAACTCTTTGGAGTGTGTTCTTTACCATCAAAACTTGTTAGCAAACAGTTAATGCACATGACCTGATAAAAACCTGGGGATTCAGATGCTGTTCTAAAGTTCTTCTGCCTTAAAGTGATGGGCTTCAAAAGCTAAATAAGTACTTTTTAAAACATAGTGCTTTGAATGCTTGCTCATGTATATATTCTATGCCAGATTAGCATATGCTCTAGTGTGTTTATAAAGTATGTTTCATGGATGGGAGATGCCAGCAGAATACAAAAAAAACTAATATAATGTGATTATTATAAAGGTCATTTACTGATAACGCTTGTATGTACATGTCTTTTATTAACTAGGACGTGAACAGGGATCCAGAAGAAGCCTACAGGTTATGGCTTAAAAAAAAGCACCAACAATATATGAAAGAAAAACGGATAGAATTTTTGAGACGCCAAACTGAGGAAGTGGCCTTTGTACCAAGGGCAGAGGAATGCGACAGAGCTTTTAGAGAGTGAGTAGGGTCATTCCTAAGGGACCACATTTGCTACTTTTGCAGTGTATCATCTCAGAACTGTAGCTGTCTTATGGTATATCTTTGATGCTAAAGTCCTCATTGTTTTGGAGGGGGTTTTTTTTTCATGAATATGCCCTTCTAAACTTACACCTCAGCAAAAATACATCAATGCATGTTGTTTGTTCACTGCTGTGAAATTATTTATCAGAACCTGAGCTAAAAAGAGTGAATTGCTTTTGCTAAAAAAGGGATCTTCTCCTCAAACATTTGTTGCATGTTCTGGAGCAAGCTTGGGTTTATTCAGTCCATGAAATAAGCATAAAGTTAAAGGTGGGTGCAGAAGCAGGGGAAATGGGGTGGGAAAGTAGTGCTTCCTGTGTTTGGGTGTGGCAGGCTTTTAGACTGTCTCAGCCATGACACCCAACTTCACCCTACAAGACAGGGTGGGCTCCAGTTAAGTGGGGGCCAAAACTCCTTTGAATGATGTCAAACTTGAAATTTCAACTGCCAGTACTTCTGATCCTCTTTGTCTCTCCACAGCTGGCTGAGGAGGAAGAAAGAAGAGAAACAAGAAGCAGAACTAGCTGCTAAAGAGAGAGGCAGGCTGTTTAAATTAGAAGCCAGAAGAGCAAGACAGATGCGGAGTATGCACTATATTTAATTCAGAGGCAAAATCCTTTTGCTTCACAGGTCATTACAGTTAAAAATTTGATGTAGACACAGAGTTCTTGGTGACAATCTTCTGAATTTTTATGGCTTGTTTTTGTCCTTTACAGCTACTGACTTTTTGTGGTGTTTTTGAAGCTTTCAATCAAGTTTAACAATTACCTTCAGTGACAATGCTTTTACTATCTATTTATTTGTAATTTAGTTGAAAAGCCTGCTTTAATCTATAACTCAGGGATCTTCTCGATTTAACCAAACCTTAACGAGTGCAAGATGTATGTATGAGGGTGGCAAATACACATTCCCTTCTTAAAGGCACTTTATACTCAGCTCCATCATGGATTCCTGGATGCAGGCTACTCTGTAAAATGTTGAATTTTTTGTGGATTAATATTGCTATTTGATGCTGCTAGTGATTAAGACTGTGCAAGGTGCTATGTTGTTGGAAAATGATGTTTATTGTACCTATTGATCTGTTGACCAGCTCTAGACCAGAAGACTGTGTTCTTTTAGGTTCCTGGAAAGGGTCATTGAAGACTAATGTATAGGTGATTGTGCAACAAGTTTTGAAACTTATTTCTGTGAGTCATATTGAGTAGTTTTCTATTTCATGGAATTAAAAGCTTGTGCAAATGATGACCTTTTCCCTACGAAGGAAGCCAGGTTCCTTATATAAATGTCAATGCTTATTATAATAAATCTACCAAACTACATCACCTTACCCACCTAAATTGTGAACTCTTGATAGAGAACATGCCAAAGTCACTCATGAAATCATAAAGTTAGTGAAAGAATAGAAGCATTCTGTCCAACTGTATGTCCCAACAGATTTCATGATCCTGGAATTGCTCTTCAATTTTTCCACAGTCACTGTTTTCTGAGTACTGCAACAGACAGAAGTGTAGAGATGCAAAGAACGTTTGCTGGTAGTATTGTTCTTGGTTATTTTTGGAGCTAGTTACAGGCATATTGAGAGCACTGGTGTTGGACTGGAGGCTGGTCTGTTGCAGCTTTTGCCAGCATAGAGAGTGAGCATGGACACAAAATGAAAATTTCACATGGTACTGGGATACATAAGTAACAGGTTGCCTTCCTCCCTCCAAAACCTCCCCCTGACACCAAAGGCAAGAAGAGCTTCCTGTGTCTAGCAAGCAAATCCAGGGGGAATGTTTGCAAAGGTTCACACACACCGTCTCCCTAACTGTAGAAAACTACAGAAGAGGTGCTTCTCTGTTCATTGCCTCACACCAGCAGAGTGAAGGGTTTTACAGTTCAATGTCATATAGTTCTGTTAATGCTACAAAGAATGTGACTTCATTAAATCCAAAACTGTAACTTGAAAGCAAGCAAAGGAAGTTTATTGTAGCTTTCTTCATGTAAACCAAAGCTGAGCCAGCAACAGCAAGAACAGCTTACATATTCTGATAATGGGTATGAGATTCAAAGGAAAATAGGGTAAAAGCAACCATTTCAGAAACCTTTTCCCTAAAGTAGGCAGCTTCATATGGTAAATTTTGGGGGTCAAGCAAAGAAACTTAAATAGGGTTCTTTGGATTTAGCAGATTGTCTCCTAAAAGTTCTCATCAAACCTATGTCAAGAACTCCAAACCTATATCAAGATTATAAAACCATACAAGTAAAAAAATACTTTTTTTTTTAACAGTACCTGTGCAAACTTAGTGCTTATCTTCATCTTCCCATAATACCTAGGAAGACCTTGGGCAAGGACTGAGCCCTAATGCCAGAGCAGGTTCAGTGCTATGTACTAAAGGAAGCATGTCAGTCTGCCTTTGCTGGATCAGCTAGGCAGCAGCTTCATTCTAGAAGCTGAAACAATGGAAAAGCCATTTCAGCTCTATAGAAATGCAAGAATAATCTCACCCCAGAGTTTTCTAGAATCCAATTGAAAGCAGTTACTACTTATGAATTATAGCTGAAGTTCATTCAAGCTTCATCGCCTTCTTGACAGGTGGGCTGACACTGCATATACTCTTGCTTTCAGAACTTACAGCTATGAAGAATGACTGCATATACTCCTTTTTATAACTAAATTTAAAAGGTAGAACATAGACTTGGGGACAGTTCATCACCTAGGCTAAAATGAAAAAAAAAAAGCATCTCTATGCTCTATAAATTGGACCAGCATGTTTTTTGTCTTGACTATGTTTAAGAAAATAAGTAGCTTTCCCCATTGAGAAATAGTAGAAGTATCCCAGAAACTATGGAAATCCTGTCAATCCCTAACTTCAAGAGGTAGAGGAGCTGAAACTGTGTAATTTCCAATGCCAGACCTACCCATTACAGAAAAAGGACAAAGGAAAGCCTGCTGAGCATCAACTAGTGTTCTTTAGAAAGAGTGCATGTGCAGCTGCCTTGGCTGGGCTTTTAAAGGGCTATCAGCTCTCCCTGACAGTGATTGCAACAATTGAAGGTGACATCTTCATATCTTGTATATGGGTGAAACCTTCCAATACTTTTCTTTGTGGAAAGGAAAGAAGATGGAGAAGTCTCAGAAAAAGAAACTTCTGTTGATGTTTCTGGATGTGCAGCTGGATCCAGTACACGTAGCATCTAAGGAGGGAAAAATTGACACTGAAAATATTTTTATTCAATTTAATTGGCTTTTTCCTTCTCTAAAAGCTAGGAAGGATTTCTGCATAAAAGCCATTTTTCATATTTTTTCTACGTTGAAAATGAAATATCTGTTTACTGAGAACCTTAATATAAAGATTAACATGTATCAAGAATTCTTACCATTTCAGCCATTTTCTCAGCAGGGGTATTGCAAAACTCCACAGTTGTTGAAGTCTTTTTTGGACTGTTAGTGCCAACGTTTCCTAGAAGATGTGAGCTTACAGCTTTGGCTAGCTTACAGTTCACAGCTGCTAGCTCTGTTGTAGTGTATGGCTGGGCACTAGGATAGTATGTCTGTTGTCTCCCCCACTGAAGAGAGACCATGAGCTCCTCCAGCAGCCTGTGCAGAAAGGAAAGAAGCCCTGTTAGTAGGGTTTGTATTCTATACTGTATAATCAGCACCCAACACACTTCAAAGGAATCATCTCTTCCCAAGGCTTAGTGCATAAGCTAAATCTTAAACCAAAGAAATGGACAAAAAAGTGCTTAAGAACAAGGAGACAACTGCGCTATTCTCCAAGGAAAGGCCTCACCAACACAGGACATTAATATTGGGAACACTTCTTTGACATCTGGCAGAAAAAGCACTGTAAAGTCCATGGAGGAAGAAGATTATCTCTGATATTTTGGAAGGAAACAGAGAAGACTTGAAGTCAAGACAGTAAGTGATTAGAGAAAGCCTGAGGATGTGAAGGATATCAGTTCCACAGTTTATTACCCTTAAGACCTCAGACCTATAGGGGAACAAAGAAAGTATTCTATTACTATTGCTGTTTCAGCTCTAAGACTGAAAAGTTACTATATTATATATACATCAGCATAATTGATTTTTGTTGAATATCACTGGACAAGGGGAAAGTTATTTGATTCTCCTCTAGCCTAAAATAAACTGAGAAAAATGAAGTTTACACAGAGATAGTCTGCATTAAAAAAAAACATACTTGTGTGTATCAATCATCTCTTGACGGAACTGTTCACGTTCGTTCAGCAAGTCCTGGATTGCACTTTGTGCATCTCTGGTTTGGCGCTGAAGAATTGCCCTGGTATTGGTCAGCTCATCAGCCATCACTCTGCAAAGGAAATCCCCAGTCAGCAGTGCAAGTGAACAGTTTGAAAGTCACTTTTTTCTACTACAGATCATCATTTTTCTGGTCAACCTGAGTATTAAGCTGCTCTTCTCTGTCCCCTCCCTCATGCAGAGCCTATATCAACCTAATTAAGAATAATACTTGTTCAACTACAGGCAACACCAGTGCAAGATTATCTTTTGACTGAGTTTAAACAATTTAAGGCACTTAATACAAAGCTAGTAACAGACATTTCAAAATACCTTGAGAAAGTGTCCATGGTTGACAAGGATCCTGTGAAAGAGAAAGCTAAATACATTTTTCTAACAATTTTCACAAGTATGCTGTAATCACATTTGTTCACTCATCTCTAAAAATGGAATCTATGGCTATAGACTGCAAGCATTTACCTCTTTGTCCTTCTCAGGGACAATCACCAGATGCCAGATAAGAGTGTTTAATAGCTACAGAGGAGACAGATGTTGTCACATTTTTCTATGCCATGAGGCTTGGCACTGACCCCTCCAGCAGGCATTTCAAATGCCTGTGATACTCCAAATGCAAAAACCAGAATGACATTTAAGCAACCACCAGTTAGAAATATGAGATAAAAATGAACCAGAATGTTAAAATATTGAAGAGTGTTACTTTAAGCACACTGCTGAGACTCACAGCCCTGACCCTAGAACTCCTCATAATGTTAAAAAAAAATCCCAAGTTTGCATAGTGACTCTTGCTCAGCTAGGATTTACAAGTACCATTACACCTCATATGTCACACAAGATACCATTCACCCCATATGCTGAAACTTCTTAAGACCAGCAAATTAAAGGGAGGAGACTAAATTCCACTGCCATTTCCTTCAAGCAGTAAGATCTTTTGTGATATACATTAAGCATCAAAATTCAGTCAGTTATATTCAAGTACACTAGAAAATTAAAAATCCTAGAAAACTATTTACAGATCTGGTGAGACAAACTTAACAAGTTTTAAACTTAGTAAATTTAAAATCATTGTCAAATGAGATTTTGACTGTCAGACCTGCTTTTATGTTTACAGAAGTAACAGTAGGGTAGTAGTAGTAGTAACAGACAGTATTTGATAAAGAAGTCCCCCTACTCTTTCTTCTGTAGTAGATCCCTGACTCACTATAAGCAGAGCTCTTAAACACCAACTTCTTCTCAAATTGATGACTGTATCATACTGGGGGGTTGGGGATGAAAATCAATTAATTACCTTTAAGAAAAGTCAGCTGTCCTAGAAGACATTTTTAAACCCTAAACTGAATGTGGTTTTATCAAAATTAAGAGCTTCTCTTGTTTTCTTGACAAGAACTGTAGTTGTGATTTTAGGAGGTTTAGGACTCACTGAATTACCTCTGAAAAGCAGGACTATTCAGATTTACAAGGAGCTTACTTTCTTTATACCTTTCCTGTATTCTCAGATTTCATAGTAGGTGTCAGTATGGCTATTGCGGCTGTCCTTTGCATATGAAAGCACACTGCAGTGTCTGTATGTGATGAAAGACTGAAGGAGAATGCTGTTAGGACAGCTCTATGAGAAGGAATACCTGCTTGCTAGAAATTTGCTTCTCCACACATCACATTGTATAGACATGCGCTCCAATTGTTCAGACAACTGAGCCATATTCCGGCCCAGGACTTCGTTTTCTAGGATGAGCTGATTCTTCTCACGAGCCATCCGTTCAAAGTGATACTGCAGATCATCCCCAACAGAAGCAACAAGTAATTTCTTCAACTCCCGATTGACCTAGAATTAGACCAGACTCTCTTGCAATTATCAGTAGAGAGTAAACACTCCTAAGAATGCAGCACAACTTATTAAAAATTGCTAACAGTAAATTGTCTTTCCAGAACGGGATGTATCTGGGAAAGCATAAACATTTAAGCCTAAACATTTATAACAGAAGCATGTCCAACACATTCTTGTTTAAATTCTAACAGTCAAAGAGGAAGTATGAAAGCCTGCTGCAGGAAACAGAGTTTCAGTAGTATTCAGCTCCTGAATCAGTAAGATAACAACAAAGGATTAGACAAGACATCCACAGGTGTATGAAATATAAAGTTATAGTCAACCCTTCTACGGCATAACATTTTCCACTTAGTGATTAAGGAACAAAGTCTTTCCTCATAAAAGATTCATTTCCCTGCCGCTCTCTCATGTGTTTTTCCCAGCTAAGTCTTTGACTCTTTCATCTGTTGTCAGAGAAGCAGCACTAGAATACTTTGATGTACTTCTACTCTATATCTTAGCTGGTAAGTTCAAAAGGGAACTTATTTGTTTCAAGGCTAGAGTGTCATAGCAGTTCTTTCACATTCACAAACTGCTTATACAAACCAAAACAGTTCAGCTGTGGGAGAGAAAACACCTTTAAGTTCTTACCTCTGTCTGTATACGCAGCTGATTAGAGAGACCTTCTTTATCCTGTAACAACCGCTTTTCTGAATTCTTTAGCTTTTCAATTGCATTTTTCAGCTCTATCTGCTCTTTCTTGGGATCTGTGGCTCCATCTGACTGATGGAATGTGTCTCCTTTATGTCCCAAAGATTTAGCTACCTTAGCATTTTTAGTTGGAACAACATGGGTGATGGCTGCTTTGGGGACTAATATTCGAACAGCTTCAATCTCTACTGATTTATCTGCATGTACTTTCCCCAGCTGCAGAACTCCGGGACTCAGGGAAGAGGCTGTCTTTTTATGGGGGCTGTGGTGGATGTGATGGCTCGTTGTGCTGGCTCCAGTGATCACTTCCACTGATCCAGCTGTTTGCTCTGTTTCCATGCCATCTCCAGGTCCTCGAATGGGTGCTGAGGCATCATCAACTGAAATTTAGAAATTGTAGAGGAAATGTTTGCCACTCTTTATTTGGTTATAGTGTCATTGTAAGTCTTCCCCTAATATCTGAACTTAATTTAATTTTCTTAATTTTTTAAAAACAGATTTTAATTGTACACAGCATGTGTCAAATTGCAGTCACACTGCAGCAGTGATTACCAAGCACAAGTCAAGAAATCACAGAATGGTTTGGATTGGAAGGGATCATCATTGGATTGGATTCAGGATCATCTTGTTCCAACACTGTGGAACTGCCCTGCTGTGGGCACGGACACCTTCCACTAGACCAGGTTGCTCAGGGCCCCGTCCAACCTGTTCTTGATCACTTCCAGGCATGGGGCATCCACAACTTCCCTAGGAACCTGTTCCAGTGCCTCACCACCCTCACAGTAAGCCCTTACTCAAATGTGCACTGCTCATTAAAAAGAGCAGTACAAGACACAAACATTGATCTGAATTCCATTAATTTAAATTTCCTGCTGCCATACAAGATTAAATGCAGGCACAAAAAAGAGCTTTCCTGGAAAAAAAAATCTTGACAACATAATTCATAGGCTGAAAACAAAATCAGGTTTTGGGAGCTGGCAGAATCAGAGCAGTTTCATTTTAAAAGCAAGAAGCAAATGAAAAACAGCTATTACCCAGACAGCTACTGACACCTTAAGAAGTTTAGCAGCTTTTTAAGTATTGAAATGTTTTAGTTGCCCAAGTGAAGGTTTAAGAAAAGCCAACAACCCAGTTCTGCTCCATTTTTGAACTACAGACTCCAGCATTCCCAGTAATTGCTACATTCTGTTCTATAGTCCCTAACACAACATTTACTGAAATTAACTTTATTTAAGTCTACTAAGTTTCCAGCTGAATTATTATTGTAGTACAGTTTCCTCACAATGGGTGGGAGATACAAAGTTTCTGAAACATGGTTACACCTACTGCTTTTTTTCCTCATATTGCAGGCAGTAGTGTGAGCTTGTGTCCTCTAGACAAATACTAATGGATTTCAAAAATGCTGTAGTAACACCACTGTATTGGCTTACTTTCAAGTTTGCTGAACCAGTACCAACAGGTTCTAAATACCAGAGGAGGCTGTCAGACAAGTGTACAGACAGATCACAGTACCACCAACAAACTTATTTTTCAACATCGAGCTGGATTAGAAAAACTACATTTAATTGCTGTTCCGTCCAGGCAGCTCTGGCTTTCACTGCAATAATGAAGTCACAGAACTACTTCCTCACAGCTACATAAAAGGAGTAAGTTTAAATGAAAGGAACCTGCTATACAGTGTAACTCTGGTGTTCAGAATTCCAGTCAAAGTACTTCTTAATTCAGTCTGTTTAGATGTCATATGAACAACCTACCTTTTTCTAGAGATGTCATTTTCTCTTTAGCAGTCAGCTCTTCCTATCTAGGTAAGTCTGAGGAAGAAATAAGGAGGGGGACAAAAAAAAATCTTTAGCAAGGTAACAGCGATAGTTAATCTTGGATTATCCTGTTTTCTAGTACAAGCTCTAAACTCCAGTTCAGCAGCACAGTGAAAAAACCCACACCAAAACAAAGGGGAAAAACATAGAATGATAAAAACTACACCAAAAACCATAGAGTTAAAAGAAGACTGTGAGTCTTCTGGCACTTGTGTCTTTTTTTCACCAAGAGCTGCACTTCAACTCCTTTGCATTGCTCCCCATCTTGTTCTAGTTTCCATTCCTCAAATTTTTTTTCTGGTCTCCCTCCTTTTTTCAGTGAGCCCCCATCTTACCCTTTAAAAGTCTGTAACACCCCCACAGTACAACTGCACGACTGTGCCAAGATATCCTAAAATCATCAACCAGAAGAAAAGGCAATCCCACTCTGTGCTTCAAGCAGATTAAGAGGTGAGGAGAAAACAGTGGCAACTGCACAGCTGCACAATTCCTGTAGTCCTGCTTGCTGGAACAACCTTTTTGATAGGTCAATTCTCAGTCAAAGAGGAGTCAGTGCCCTAAGTGGGTGCACATGGTTCGTTTAACCTAACAACAAAAGCTGACAACCAATTTGGCCCAAACCACCATCCTGGCCATTTTCTCCCTTGTCCACAAAAAGTATTGACCATTGCTACCTTCATCCACAAGGGCCATCCACTCTCTACAAGTCACTCATCGTCTTTTCTAGGGTCTAGCTATGTCAGTTTGAGGTCAGTATACTCTTATCTTGTCTGGCTGGCTTTTTTTCCTTGAGCTCTCCCCATTTTACAGGGGAGACCCCCAGGGCCCTTGCTTCTTTTCACTGTACCACGAACTGAAAAGGTCTAACTACAGCTTTTTGACCTCCATTGCAGCAGCTTTCTGCCCTAAAAAGAAAATGGCAGCAGTGAGCAAACTTTCAGGTTTCTAGACTAAAGATTTGTTTTGTGTCAGGCAGGTTTATCTTTTGTGATGAACAGAAAACAAAAGAAACACCTTTTCCTCCTTTAGCTTTCTCAAACTACAGATACAGAGATGTCTCACCATCTGTTGCTTCTGCAACCGGAGTTGAGTGTTTGCTTATTTAATAGCATTAGGTGTTAATCACCACCGCTGTTCCGTCATTTTGACTGGGGATCTCTATTTACTTGATGAGAACGAGGAGGATGAAACCGTAGCTGTTCAGGAAGACGTAAAAAATACCCAACGAAAGACTGATTAGGAGCATTTGGGCTTATCCACTCCATCAGACACGGCCTGCCGGTGACCCTGCTCCTTCAGAGCTCACGCTACAATCCCGGCCAGTTACGTGCGGGAGCAGCGGGAGCAGTGTAAGCCTCCCCACACGTCCCCCTCCTCCTCCATCTCCCTCACTGGCTGCATCATTACCCACCGCACCTCTCAGGACGTCGAGCCCTGCAGGATCCAGGGCCCCGCACAGCCACAGCCACAGCCACCGCCCAGCCCCGGCCCCGG